TTTTGGGCAAAGTCGGGTTAAGTGTCTTGCCCAAGGACACAACGACAGCAGACATCAGTGGGAGTCGGTGGAGAAGGTGTCAAGGTGGGAATTAAACCCACAACCTTCAGGCCTAAAGGCCAATGCTCTACCAACTGAGGTACTGTCGCCCGTAAAAGATAAAAAGATAAAATCCCTCAGTTTTCCATCCATCCATTTTCTTCCCCTTAATCCATTTTTGGGTTGGAGGGACACACAGAGCACCAGCCCCTCCCCTGATCCTCCTGCAGGAGTCCACAGGAGCCTCCGTTGTAGCACAGCTAAACAGAACTGTTTTTAACCTGGTTTTAAACATTGTTAGAGAAGTGGCCTGTCTCACACTTTCAGGAAGATTGTTCCAGATGTGACAGATGACGCTCTCTCTTTGTTTCTGGGGACCAAAGACAATCATTTCAGTTTTGTCTGCGTTTAGCTGAAGGAAGTTGTTTTGCATCCACTCACTGATCTGTTGGATACAGTGAAGGAGTGAGTCCACTGGTCCATGTTCTCCTGCAGTCAGTGAGACATAGATCTGAGTGTCGTCTGCATAGTTGTGATAGGACACTTTGTTTCTGCGTATTAACTGACCTAACGGCAGCATGTAGAGATTGAACAGAAGAGGTCCCAGGATCGACCCCTGTGGGACTCCACAGGTCAGGGCTATATGATCTGAGACACACTTTCCAATCTCCACAAAGTAACATCTCTAACATCTCTAAAGCCCCGTTCAGACCGGATCATGCGGTGCATTGGCTTTCAATGCAAAGCCAATGGTGACGCACGTTCGAGTGTCGAAATGCACGCACGGACTGCGCGGTAGAGACGCGGGGGAGGTGCAGGAGCGGAAAATCGATGCATGCAGGAGATTAATTCTGCTGAGCCTTTCCTCAGGACGCTCGTGACGCAACCAATCAGAGAGCCGCAAAGTGGTCACGGGGACATTAGTGTCTGAGCGAGCAGACTGAACATACGGTAAACAGCCAAAACAGGAGCTACACCAGGAGCTACACCAGGAGCTACACCAGGACTTAACCCGGACTTAACCCGGACTTAACCCGGACTTAACCCGGACTTAACCCGGACTTAACCAGGACTAAACCAGGACTAAACCAGGACTAAACCAGGGTTGACAATGGGGGACATAGTGCTTGTGAACATGTGAGCTTTCATGCTCCTGTGACTTAATGCAACTGCTTTGAGCGTGTTCACCGATGCGGAAGTACCTTTTAATGATAAAATAAACTTATGGTGCACCTCCGTGAACACATACTGCTGTTATATAAAGTCACCTCCGTGAACACATACTGCTGTTATATAAAGTCACCTCCGTGAACACATACTGCTGTTATATAAAGTCACCTCCGTGAACACATACTGCTGTTATATAAAGTCACCTCTGTGAACACATACTGCTGTTATATAAAGTCACCTCCGTGAACACATACTGCTGTTATATAAAGTCACCTCCGTGAACACATACTGCTGTTATATAAAGTCACCTCCGTGAACACATACTGCTGTTATATAAAGTCACTGTGAACACATACTGCTGTTATATAAAGTCACCTCCGTGAACACATACTGCTGTTATATAAAGTCACCTCCGTGAACACATACTGCTGTTATATAAAGTCACCTCCGTGAACACATACTGCTGTTATATAAAGTCACCTCTGTGAACACATACTGCTGTTATATAAAGTCACCTCCGTGAACACATACTGCTGTTATATAAAGTCACCTCCGTGAACACATACTGCTGTTATATAAAGTCACCTCCGTGAACACATACTGCTGTTATATAAAGTCACTGTGAACACATACTGCTGTTATATAAAGTCACCTCCGTGAACACATACTGCTGTTATATAAAGTCACCTCTGTGAACACATACTGCTGTTATATAAAGTCACCTCCGTGAACACATACTGCTGTTATATAAAGTCACCTCCGTGAACACATACTGCTGTTATATAAAGTCACCTCTTTGAACACATACTGCTGTTATATAAAGTCACCTCCGTGAACACATACTGCTGTTATATAGTCACCTCCGTGAACACACACTGCTGTTATATAAAGTCACCTCTGTGAACACATACTGCTGTTATATAAAGTCACCTCCGTGAACACATACTGCTGATATATAAAGTCACCTCCGTGAACACATACTACTGTTATATAAAGTCACCTCCGTGAACACATACTGCTGTTATATAAAGTCACCTCCGTGAACACACACTGCTGTTATATAAAGTCTCCTCCGTGAACACACACTGCTGTTATATAAAGTCACCTCCGTGAACACATACTGCTGTTATATAAAGTCACCTCCGTGAACACATACTGCTGTTATATAAAGTCACCTCCGTGAACACATACTACTGTTATATAAAGTCACCTCCGTGAACACATACTGCTGTTATATAAAGTCACCTCCGTGAACACATACTACTGTTATATAAAGTCACCTCCGTGAACACATACTGCTGTTATATAAAGTCACCTCCGTGAACACATACTGCTGTTATATAAAGTCACCTCCGTGAACACATACTGCTGTTATATAAAGTCACCTCCGTGAACACATACTACTGTTATATAAAGTCACCTCCTTGAACACATACTACTGTTATATAAAGTCACCTCCGTGAACACATACTGCTGTTATATATAGTCACCTCCGTGAACACATACTGCTGTTATATAAAGTCACCTCCGTGAACACACACTGCTGTTATATAAAGTCACCTCCGTGAACACATGCTGCTGTTATATAAAGTCACCTCCGTGAACACATACTGCTGTTATATAAAGTCACCTCCGTGAACACATACTGCTGTTATATAAAGTCACCTCCGTGAACACATACTGCTGTTATATAAAGTCACCTCCGTGAACACATACTGCTGTTATATAAAGTCACCTCCGTGAACACATACTGCTGTTATATAAAGTCACCTCCGTGAACACGTACTGCTGTTATATAAAGTCACCTCCGTGAACACGTACTGCTGTTATATAAAGTCACCTCCGTGAACACGTACTGCTGTTATATAATGTAAAGCTGCATTATTGGAGAAGAACTTTACACAATCATCAAAGTCCGCCCGCTACTTCTGCCACTTCCGGCGGGCGCCACCGCAGCAGGACTTCTGGTCTGAAGACCCCTGCGTCTGAAAACTAGAGATTGTGCATCTGGTGTGCGAGGCGTCAGCGTTCCAGCGTCGGTGGTGTGAACGCAGTTTAACATCTCTAACAGCTCTAACATCTCTAACATCTCTAACAGCTCTAACAGCTCTAACAGCTCTAACAGCTCTAACATCTCTAACATCTCTAACATCTCTAACAGCTCTAACAGCTCTAACACCTCTAACACCTCTAACAGCTCTAACAGCTCTAACAGCTCTAACAGCTCTAACAGCTCTAACATCTCTAACAGCTCTAACAGCTCTAACACCTCTAACAGCTCTAACAGCTCTAACACCTCTAACAGCTCTAACAGCTCTAACAGCTCTAACATCTCTAACATCTCTAACATCTCTAACAGCTCTAACAGCTCTAACATCTCTAACATCTCTAACATCTCTAACAGCTCTAACAGCTCTAACACCTCTAACAGCTCTAACAGCTCTAACAGCTCTAACATCTCTAACATCTCTAACAGCTCTAACAGCTCTAACAGCAGTTCTCATGTTCCCGCTGCTGTAACCAGAGCTCTCCCAGATCCAGGTCAGTGTGTCGGGGGCAGGGCCTACCCCCGGGGGAGACCAGAGAGAGAGACCAGAGGGAGAGAGACCAGAGGGAGAGAGACCAGAGAGAGAGAGACCAGAGAGAGAGAGAGAGACCAGAGAGAGACCAGAGAGAGAGAGACCAGAGAGAGAGAGACCAGAGAGAGAGAGACCAGAGAGAGAGAGACCAGAGAGAGAGAGACCGGAGAGAGAGAGACCAGAGAGAGAGAGACCGGAGAGAGAGAGACCGGAGAGAGAGAGACCGGAGAGAGAGAGACCAGAGAGAGAGAGACCAGAGAGAGAGAGACCAGAGAGAGAGAGACCAGAGAGAGAGAGACCAGAGAGAGAGAGAGAGACCAGAGAGAGACCAGAGAGAGAGAGACCAGAGAGAGAGAGACCAGAGAGAGAGAGACCGGAGAGAGAGAGACCAGAGAGAGAGAGACCGGAGAGAGAGAGACCGGAGAGAGAGAGACCGGAGAGAGAGAGACCAGAGAGAGAGAGACCAGAGAGAGAGAGACCAGAGAGAGAGAGACCAGAGAGAGAGAGACCAGAGAGAGAGAGACCACATCTGCAAGCTGCTGTAAAAAGTATTGAATTGTTGGAGTTATTTTATAGTGTAGTTCTACCAGATTAAAGCTGGGGTACCTAACTCTGTATTAAACCGATTGCTCTAGTTTTGGTTTTGGAAGGTTAAAGATTTTGACATATGATTAAATTTGTAACCTTAACCCTGTTCATTTGGACCAAAGAATAAAACTACCCACATTAAGAGCACGACCACTCGGTGTCCCCCACTGGAGCAAAGACTGTAGATTACAATTACCTGCTAGCTCAATGCTAACCTGCTAACTCAATGCTAACCCTATCTATAGGTTTTATACCGAAATCTACATTTTCTTTGTGAGGTTTTAGATGAACCTGACTTTGAAATGTTTGAAGAAAGTTTGTTCTTCTCTTTTAGAAAATGATCAATGTTGTTTCCTCAGTGATATTTAAGATGATGTATGACATGCTGTACTTTTGACCATCAATCACTGGAAGTACCATAGTTGTTATGGTACCTTTGACCATCGATCGCCGGAACTACCATAGGGTTATGGTACCTCTGACCATCGAGCACTGAAACTACCATAGGATTATGGTACCTCTGACCATCGAGCACTGGAACTACCATAGGGTTATGGTACCTCTGACCATCGAGCACTGGAAGTACCATAGTTGTTAATCGATCACCGGAACTACCATAGGGTTATGGTACCTCTGACCATCGAGCACTGGAACTACCATAGGATTATGGTACCTCTGACCATCGAGCACTGGAACTACTATAGGGTTATGGTACCTCTGACCATCGATCACTGGAACTACCATAGGGTTATGGTACCTCTGACCATCGATCACTGGAACTACCATAGGGTTATGGTACCTCTGACCATCGAGCACTGGAACTACCATAGGGTTATGGTACCTCTGACCATCGAGCACTGGAACTACCATAGGGTTATGGTACCTCTGACCATCGAGCACTGGAACTACCATAGGGTTATGGTAACTCTGACCATCGGGCACTGGAACTACCATAGGGTTATGGTACCTTTGACCATCGATCACTGGAAGTACCATAGGGTTATGGTACCTCTGACCATCGATCACTGGAAGTACCGTAGTACACATAGTAACATTTAGTTTGTTGTAGAGCAATGAAATTTGGAACATATTTGACAACTCCATTCAAAGAAAAAAGTGTATTAGGACCACGCCCATTGACAAACATGACCATGCCCACTGACAAACATGACCACGCCCATTGACAAACATGACCACGCCCATTGACAAACATGACCACGCCCATTCATGACCACGCCCACTGACAAACATGAAATCCAGAATGTCCAGTATGAACCATGAACTATGAACCATGAACCTGCCTTAAACCTTAACCCTGTTCATTTGGATCAAAGAATAAAACTACCCACAGATCACGACCACTCGGTGTCCCCCACTGGAGCAAAGACTGTAGATTACAATTACCTGCTAGCTCAATGCTAACCTGCTAACTCAATGCTAACCCTATCTATAGGTTTTATACCGAAATCTACATTTTCTTTGTGAGGTTTTAGAACTGATCTTGAGGCCTTTAGAACTTTTTCCTTTAGGGGCGACAGTAGCTCAGTTGGTAGAGCATTGGCCTTAAGCCCAGAAGGTCGTGGGTTCAATTCCCACCTCTGCACCTTCTACACCGACTCCCACTGATGACTGCTGTCGTTGTGTCCTTGGGCAAGACACTTAACCCCACTTTGCCCAAAAGCCCCCACTGAAAGATCAAGGCTATGCTCACACTCAGAGAGCAGCCGTCCTCCTGTGAACTCACCACCTGCAGAGGGTCAGTGAGGGGCTGGTGCTATGAGACTTGGGTGGCATCTCTGACTGCCACCCCCCTGACCCAGAAATGGATTAAAGGGTAGAAAATGGAAATGGAAATGGTTTGAACACATGGTCTAAACTCATAGGGCATCTACAGTTATCTGCAGAAATGTGATTGGTTACAGTTTGTTTAAACGAGGAACATGTGTTTGAAGTTAGAGATGGGTTTGAACCTGTGTTTGAAGTTAGAGATGGGTTTGAACCTGTGTTTGAAGTTAGAGATGGGTTTGAACCTGTGTTTGAAGTTAGAGATGGGTTTGAACCTGTGTTTGAAGATAGAGATGGGTTTGAACCTGTTTTTGAAGTTAGAGATGGGTTTGAACCTGTGTTTGAAGTTAGAGATGGGTTTGAACCTGTGTTTGAAGATAGAGATGGGTTTGAACCTGTTTTTGAAGTTAGAGATGGGTTTGAACCTGTTTTTGAAGTTAGAGATGGGTTTGAACCTGTGTTTGAAGTTAGAGATTAGTTTGAACCTGTGTTTGAAGTTAGAGATTAGTTTGAACCTGTGTTTGAAGTTAGAGATGGGTTTGAACCTGTGTTTGAAGATAGAGATGGGTTTGAACCTGTTTTTGAAGTTAGAGATGGGTTTGAACCTGTGTTTGAAGTTAGAGATTAGTTTGAACCTGTGTTTGAAGTTAGAGATGAGTTTGAACCTGTGTTTGAAGTTAGAGATGGGTTTGAACCTGTTTTTGAAGTTAGAGATGGGTTTGAACCTGTGTTTGAAGTTAGAGATTAGTTTGAACCTGTGTTTGAAGTTAGAGATGAGTTTGAACCTGTGTTTGAAGTTAGATGGGTTTGAACCTGTGTTTGAAGTTAGAGATGGGTTTGAACCTGTGTTTGAAGTTAGAGATGGGTTTTGAACCCATGCTGTAGTGTAATATAGAACCACATGTATCACTGTCACTTTACTAAGTCTGTGTCTTAATGCTAAGAGCCTAATGCTGCTAACATGCTAACATGGACAGATGTATACATACAACTACATATACAGTGAACCTTGAACCTTTCAACATTTCGCCACATTTCAGGCTTCAAACATAAAGATATAACATTTTAATTTTTTGTCATGAATCAACAACAAGTGGGACACAATCGTGAAGTGGAACGAAATTTATTGGATAATTTAAACTTTTTTAACAAATAAAAAACTGAAAAGTGGGGCGTGCAATATTATTGGGCCCCTTTACTTTCAGTGCAGCAAACTCAGTCCAGAAGTTCAGTGAGGATCTTTGAATGATCCAATGTTGTCCTAAATGACTGATGATGATAAATAGAATGCACCTGTGTGTAATCAAGTCTCCGTATAAATGCACCTGCTCTTTGATAGTCTCAGGGTTCTGTTTAAAGCACAGAGAGAACCATGAAGACAAAGGAACACACCAGGCAGGTCCGAGATACTGTTGTGGAGTAGTTTAAAGCCGGATTTGGATACAAAAAGATTTCCCAAGCTTTAACCATCTCAAGGAGCACTGTGCAAGCAATTATATTGAAATGGAAGGAGTATCAGACCACTGCAAATCTACCAAGACCCGGCTGTCCCTCCAAACTTTCATCTCAAACAAGGAGAAGACTGATCAGAGATGCAGCCAAGAGGCCCATGATCACTCTGGATGAACTGCAGATAACTACAGCTGAGGTGGGAGAGTCTGTCCATAGGACAACAATCAGTCGTGCACTGCACAAATCTGGCCTTTATGGAAGAGTGACAAGAAGAAAGCCATTTCTCAAAGATATCCATAAAAAGTCTGGTTTAAAGTTTGCCACAAGCCACCTGGGAGACACACCAAACATGTGGAAGAAGGTGCTCTGGTCAGATGAAACCAAAATGGAACTTTTTGGCCACAATGCAAAACGATATGTTTGTCGTAAAAGCAACACAGCTCATCACCCTGAACACACCATCCCCACTGTCAAACATGGTGGTGGCAGCATCATGCTTTGGGCCTGCTTTTCTTCAGCAGGGACAGGGAAGATGGCTAAAATTGATGGGAAGATGGATGGCGCCAAATACAGGACCATTCTGGAAGAAAACCTGTTGGAGTCTGCAAAAGACCTGAGACTGGGACGGAGATTTATCTTCCAACAGAACAATGATCCAAAACATAAAGCCAAATCTACAATGGAATGGTTCACAAATAGACGTATCCAGGTGTTAGAATGGCCAAGTCAAAGTCCAGACCTGAATCCAATCGAGAATCTGTGGAAAGAGCTGAAGACTGCTGTTCACAAACGCTCTCCATCCAACCTCACTGACCTCGAGCTGTTTTGCAAGGAAGAATGGGCAAGAATTCCAGTCTCTCGATGTGCAAAACTGATAGAGACATACCCCAAGCGACTTGCAGCTGTAATTGCAGCATAAGGTGGCGCTACAAAGTATTAGCGCAAGGGGGCCGAATAATATTGCATGCCCCACTTTTCAGTTTTTTATTTGTTAAAAAAGTTTAAATTATCCAATAAATTTCGTTCCACTTCACGATTGTGTCCCACTTGTTGTTGATTCTTGACAAAAAAATATTTTTTTATATCTTTATGTTTGAAGCCTGAAATGTGGCGAAATGTTGAAAAGTTCAAGGGGGCCAAATACTTTCGCAAGGCACTGTAGCTGGTGATGCAACACTGACATTTCCGTGTGGGACCGATGAAGGTTCATCCTGGTAGAGGAGGTGGTCTGCACTGGTGGCCTCTGACATATGGTGGCGCAGCTGTCCATTGTTCTGCTGACACCAAGGCCTCCCCCATCACCCCCTCATTCAGGCCTCATGTGGTCATCTGCCCTCCCCCACAGAATCTAACCCTCCCCCCTCAGGGAGACCCAGGCTTAAGTGTCTAACCGAGCCCTGGATACTAAACTATAGTTTAGGTAAAGGTAACTATGGTAACTGTCAAAAGTCAGACTCTAGTCTTAGTTTAGTCTCTCTCTGGTCTCTCTCTGGTCTCTCTCTGGTCTGTCTCTGGTCTGTCTCTGGTCTGCCTCTGGTCTGTCTCTGGTCTGCCTCTGGTCTTTCTCTGGTCTCTCTCTGTTCTTTCTCTGGTCTTTCTCTGGTCTGTCTCTGGTCTCTCTCTGGTCTCTCTCTGGTCTCTCTCTGTTCTTTCTCTGGTCTTTCTCTGGTCTTTCTCTGGTCTCTTTCTGGTCCTGTAATGTGATATAGAACAAAAGCAGGATTGAGCTGCAGGCTGTGGGAGGATTCCTACTTTGTCATTCCATCTGTGTCGCTGCACCTCTGTTTGGGAACCTCTCAAACAGAAGGACAAAAACATGTCATGAGTCTCTTTTGTGAGCACCCAAATAACTAGGGGTGGGCGATATGGCCTAAAATTCATATCGCGGTATGATTTGGGTCACAGACGGTAGACGGTATACATCACGGTATAATTTGGTGTGTGAATTTCAATATAGGTTTAGCAGGTTCTTGCATAAAATAGTCAAGATTGTTACTTATCTATACATTAGAATCTGATATATATTTTTTGAGTTTGAAAATCAGGTGAGAGACAAATGCTGTAACATACATTATTTATGTATGTTACAGTAAAGACCATTAACTGTGAAAGCAATTTTAAATAATATAAAAATATAAAATATATTATATAATATCTGTAGCAGTTAGACATGGTCATTATTTATAGTGTCAGAGTTTAGTGCGTATGCATGGCTTCAGTAAAAGCTATTGTTCGTTTACAAAGCTAGTCTTGCCATTTGTTGACGCTCCCTAAGCGCTTGCTGTGAACTGGATGATTCAATGGATTTATCTGCATTAAAACAGCGCATTTGATTTGAACAATTGATGTAAATGCTCATTTTGGCACAATTAATTTTGTTTAACAAAGTAGCTTTCGTGATCTATTGACCGCGGAAGTCTGAATCGGACGCTAACTTTACAAAACTTCTGAGATGATGCGGACACGGCACAAGCATGGATCTATTTTGGCTCACGATGGCGCTTCGAGCCTACGCCCCTTTGACACTCATTGGCCGAAAGGTAGACACGTAAACTGTGATTGCTGTGTGTGTATTTACCTCCGCTGGGGCCGCTGTGACCAATACAGAGACAGAAACACGGTGTGAAAGCCGTGCTGTTGTTTCCAGTGGTGTCTGCTAGGCTAATAGTGCTAGGCTAATGTGCTAGGCTAATGCTGCTGAATGCCGGTTTGTTTTGGTCCTTTCTGCTGGCATCAGAGCCTGCGCAATTTGATGACATAATGACCTATCGCAATATGCCGGTATAACAAAAATCTCTACCG